ATTCCATTTTACTAGACAATCTACCATGCTTATATTCCGGATCTGGGTCTTTCAACAACAAAAAATAAAATAAAAAATAAATTTACGTTATTCCTGAGGTTTTGCAGGAAAAACCATTCACACAAACGGCAGATACATATAGCTTTGGTGTTATTATTGTCAAAGATGCCAATTGGACGAAAACCATTTGATATTGAATCGTTCGATTTAGATCTTGCATTAAATATTATTAACGGATTACGACATAAATTCGTTTTCAGAACTCATTGTTACGTCTGGTTGTCCAAGCGATTCATGGATCTCGATTCACAAAGAGGACCTATTTCTCAACATATTAATACCTTAATTACTGTATAGGTCGAAGGAATTGAAAATGTTATAATAAAAATGATACTGAAAAGCAATTTTTGGATTCTGATAAGACGTTCAAGGAATTTTCGGCTATAACGCAAAAACACCTGAATCATATGGATACGAGTTAACTTATCAACACGCAAGGGATCGCGAAAGCGTTAACAGATTTGAATTTTCCGACCTTCGAAATTTCAAATGAAATTTCCGATATTTATAATCATGTGCATCAACATATAAAAGCAAGCACGATTATTATGTCGGAAAAAACCTATCAAAAAGTAATTTGGAGGATATTTGTCGAAGCTTGGGGTGATCTACAGAAGAGGTAAAGGCAGATTTGATACAGAGGTTAAAATTGCATTCTAATTTGATAGCACCAAGAACTGACTTGAAAACAAGAGGCGAAAGTAGTATAAAAAAAAAAAACTAAAAAATTCACACTCGCGGTATGTCATGCACGTACCCGATTCTCCAGGGTCATAGAAGAAGGACTTTAGTCTGATTGGTTGATATTAATCAATTGCCCGAGTGACTAATATTAAACTGCAACGTTTCACCATTTTATCTATGAAAATAATTTTTTGTTTCATAATTAGGTTTAGAAGAGTGGTTCCCCTTCGCTATACAAAATAATCGGACTTTACTTAGAAGCGAAGTTACTGTGTGTATTATTACATTTTGCAAGGAAACCGAGAATGCATTGTCAAAGGATAAACTAACAAAACCCTGTCAAAGTTATTATTATCTTTAAGCGAACCTTCCTTCTTAATTCACTTAGGATAAAAAATACACTTCAACCTATTGGGCTGTGTGAAATTATACTGCGAATTGAAGGTAACTAAAAATGTTTTTCGTTTGAAATTACTTTATTATATTAGAGTTACACAAATTTTTATTACTAATTGTTTTTAATTTGAATAAATACAAATCTTAGTAGTAAATCTGGGTTTAATGTTAAAATTTGGTCGATTCTTGTAGTACGCTTGGATTTATCAACTGTTTAAAGTTTTAATTTATATCTTGTAGATTCTTTAATGAGTTTGGTGTTTTAGTAATAAATATCATATTTACCTATTTTACGCGTACCTATCTGTTTTCTAAACATATGTGATGAATCTTTTACGTGTATTTATTGATTTGAAAGCGAAGTTTTTGTTCGTTTTCTAGCAATATTACTGTATTAAACGATTAAATCTTTTTATTTTGATTGGTTAATTATCACGGGAATTCACCGGTAGATCTACAAAAATTAACCAATCATACGAATGATACGAATGTCTTCCCTATGATTCTCCAAAGACGATTTATCGAATATATAGTTTGTAAATTGTAAATATATACAGTTAAAGCTCGATATAACAAAGTCCAAAAACTGATCAAATGCCTTCGATACATAGAAATCTTTGGATATTAGAAGCCAAATTTATATATTCAAACACATACTTGTCATATAGCTATGTTCAAATATTCGCTATTGAGAAATTCGTTACCTTGAGCTTTAACTGTATATGAGAGATAAGAAATCCTATAGAATCTAAATGATGGGCATGTAAAGAGCCACAGTCCGCATTATGTTATTCCATTAATCAATAAATTGATATGAGCAAGGATAAACCACAATCATACTATTTTTGCGCACAATATATACAAATGTCATTAGTCAATGACTAATATATGTATAATTGATTAATAATATGTGTGTGTGTGTCGCAAAGAGAAAACCTGAAATTGCTGATTTTTCAGAATCTCTTTTCAGAAACGAGCTTATCGTTACTGTATCAGATTCTGATAAGCCTGTTTCTGAAACTGAAATTTTCGAAAATCAAGAATTCCAAGTTTCTCTTTACAACATTCATATATACAAACTAAGTTACTTCTGAGATTACTGGGCGTATAAAAAAAATAATAATAAAAATATTCTCTGTGCGATGATTACTTCTGAGATTACTGGGCGTGTAAATAAAAAATAATAAAAATATTCTCTGCGCGATGAATTTTCTCACGCATATCTGACAAACATGTCCCAATTTTAACAGATTTTCCGATTCTCCAGCCAAAGTCGGTAAGCCAGAATGAGAAATCTGGTTGCAAGTTATCTTCAACATTTATTAAAAGTTGTCAATCATTTGCCTCATTTTATTTTTACCCCCCACATTCCTTATTTGTTATTCGTCACACGCGTCAGATGTCAGCTGCATGTTGATCATTTGACCAGAATTAACAGATCACCTAATCTATAGCCCAATTTTGACCCTAACTCTATCCTTAACCTAGGCCAAAGAGACCTGACATATGTATATAATTTATATGAGTTATTTCAATTAATTCTTAAATAAACTCTCAATTACGGCAAGAATGACAAGAATACAGTATGTATTAAATCGAATAATATTATGAAATATTATTTTATTGAATTATTAATTTGAATTTAAAGAAATTTCCATACATTTACTTCTTAGTTTTTATATTGTTTTAGTTTAGAACTCTTCAGTTTTTATAGTTTTTATATACCGTATTCCTTAGAAAATAAACACTCCTTTTTTGCACATAATGCAGGCCACGATTATTGTAAAGCAGTCAAAGTTGGTATAGTGTGGGCCAGGGTGCTTATTTTCAATAGGACCGTTAACTTACATGTAAGTTATTTTACTGATGCAAATTTTTAACTGACATAAATTACTTGTTATGTAAGTTATAAATTGATGTTAATGCTGGTAGAAATTGTGTAATTTACTATGTAAATTTATGTTGTAAGTTTTAACAACTCTAGTTCTCTAATTGTTATAGTATTTCGACTATACATTTTCACTCATAATGAGTATTACATCACGCTAATTAAGATAACATAAATATCCTAGCCATGGCAAAAAAAAAGTTGCAGCCACATGAATTAACCAATTAGAGAAAATCAAAACAATCGAATAAAATGTAAGATTTAAAGCAACAAATTTTATCATTAGGGTTAAAAGAGAAGCATATTTTATACCAAAATTTGGTTTTTTTTTGTTAGAACGCATAAGGTAGTTTCATAAGTTATCGGCGATTTTTCAAAAAAAATCATAAAACGCAGATGTATCCAAGAAAATGAACGAAAATCAAAAAAGACCAAATAATGCTAAACTCTGGATACTTCACAAAGATTAAGACTACTTACTACCGAAATATCGAAAAGTTCGAAAAGAATGAAGGAATTTCATGAAATCTTGTCAATCATGATTCAACATAATGAACCACGAAATGAGAGAAAGAAGTATTTCGTTTTTGATCCGGGTATTGATGAAGGCTACAGTAACAATATCCTCGAAAAAAAGAAAGAGAATTGAAAATATGTATCCAACCCAGAAGAAGCGGAGAACATATAATTACGCGTTAGGTATGCATCAAAATGACAGTATCAGAAATTATCAAGTCATCAAAAATAATTATTTAAAGATAGAATATGTAACATCATTATCCAGATTAAGTTGTTTGAAAGCCTTATGAAGTCAGATCATATGCTATCCGACAATACAAATCGGCATGCAAGACTTGCAAAGAAAATACGGGAACAATTTCATGATGAAATTCAGAATCAAGTAGGATCTGGTACATTCAATTATGATACTCTTAAGAGATTTTCAATCGACCAAATGGCGTATATATAATTTTGAAAATATCGTAATTTCAGAAAATCTGAAGTAAACGATGCTGATCGCGAGAAACAAGTGCCAAATGATGATCAATGGTAGGATCGTAGCTTTAGATCCGGGTGTTAAAATGTTTATTACATATTATAGTCAATCTGGATGAGTGGTCAAAAATCGTTAGAATATGTGATAATTAGCAAAAAAAGAACGTGCTTGGTATAGAAATATATGGGGAAGTCAATATAAAAGGGATAGGTTATTTCTAATGTTTTTTTTTTTAATTGAAAAGGGATAGATTATTTCTAATGAAATTTTTTTAATTTTTATTAAAATATCTCAACAATTTTTTAATCAAATTTGATCAAAATTTTTTATTTTAATTTTAGAATTATATAGAATTAAAATAAAAAAGCTTTATTAAATTTGATTAGATAGTTGTTGAGATTTTTAGGTTAAGAAAACTTGGAAACAATTTGACCCTTTTCTATTGACTTGCCCCCATATTTCGATATGCGAAAGTGCCTTATTTAGATAAACCCTCCCTGATTAGTAAGAAGTCTAACGCTAATTGGTTTAAACCCTTGCCCGATATTAGAGAGTTCATGATGCAATCCAGAGCTCTAATAAATCTAATTACTCGAATCATGTCCTTTTGCATATTAACAAAGGTCTTTCATTATTAGGATTTAAATAAGGTAATTTTTGGTGTGTATCCCTATTTTAATGTACTTCAGTTCTGAAACTTTTCTTTTCAATATGTACATACTGTATAGATTTCTTGTGTATTACGAATCATTCTTTTTAATTTAATTTATTCAAAGATTAGAAACCGACATTAATTTTGTGATGCACAACAACAGTACAAACTTAAATTTCAAATATCATGGGTTTGGCGTTTAATTTTATGGATTAGACGTTTTTGAATATTATAAATCGAACAGTCTTAAATATTACAAACAAGAAACATCCTTAAATATAATGATCGTATTCACATATGTAGCTTTTTTTTTTTAATAAGGAAATTAAAACTTGGCATAGTAAGTAAAGTTGTTCAAAATAACGATTTGCATGTACTCTAAAATTTTTAGGAATTTTAAATAAAAGTTTATTAAGTCGTATTTAGCATTTTTGATAAAAAATTTTTGATAAAAGAAATGAAAAATAAAAAATTGTTATTAGATCGACGTATTTTTTAAACCCTATTATAAATAATATATAGTTGGTTTAAACTTTCATAGAGCAATTCAAAAAATTTGCTCATAAATTATTAAGTTTAATTCATAAGAATTTTGACAAATAAAAAAACTGCAATTTTTGTATCTAAAAATTCGGTATAATAAAACATTATAAAATTTGTATTATAATAGCTTAAAAAAGTTAATAATATATGGATTAAATAATGTATACTTAGATATTTTATTTTGGGAAATTTTTAATAAAAATTTTATAACATTTAATTATGCTGAATTTTAAGATACGAAAATTGCAGTTTTTTGATTTACTAAAATTCTTAATTAAACTTAATAATTTATGAGAAAATTTTTGAATTGCTCTATGAAAATTTAAACCTATATACTTTTAGGTACGGAGAATAACATATTTTAAAACCAATTATTATAAAACGCACCTATGGTGGTTTTGCACCTATTATATGTTTTTATTATGTTTTTTAAAATTTTCTAAGTTTTTATAAATTTGTATATAAAATTTTTAACACCAATTTTTTCACGCTAAAGTTAATATTAAGGTTAGGATTAGGGTTTGGGAGGGGTTTTTAGGGGCGTAGAACATTTTTACTTAGAACACTTCGTATCGATTAATTAGCCAGTTTTTGAGATAATGTATACATAGGTGTAAAACACCATAGGTGCGTTTTAGTAAAATCCTTTAAAACCAACTATTATTTATAATAGGGTTTAAAAATGCATCAACCTAATAACAATTTTTTTTTATTTTTCATTTTTTTTTTGATCAAAAATGCTAAATACGATTTAATAAAAAATAAAGATTTATAATTTATTGCTATAGCGATGTATCACTACCCTGTGTTTTTTATGTCAAATCAATATCCTGAAATCTCGAAAATCAGAATCCCAAAACTTAATTGTCGCATCTTGTAATGTCAGAGTTTTAATATTCAAACTTTGCTTAAGGTCAAATATAGTATAAAATTTTTTAATAAATTCTTTAAAAATGTTTAATTAATTACTTTATATAATAGTATAATTTTTTTAAATTAGTCATCTAATATTAATTAAAATATTAATTTTAATATATATACAATAAAATAATATATGAAATAATTAATTTTAGTATTTTTTTAAAAAGAAAAACTTATATTCTATTTAATTCAATTTTACAAGAAGCAAATATAAAATCTCATAAAATTAATAAAATTGTTTATACTGTATAAACAATTTTTGACTTTAAGATAAGTATAGAATAAAAATCAATATTAGTAATACAGAAAATAGAATCTAAAAAAGGAATACAGATGCAATATTGACACATTCTATAGAAAAAAATTAGAAACCAGAGCAGAATAAGATACATTAGCTTAAGAAAAAACAAGTGCCTAGATATACTAGTCAAGTATCTATATAAGAAATTACTAGTTCAAAAAATATTTTGAACAAAAAGCCAAACCTATATAACATATTGTATAATATACACAAATAGAAAAGAAAAGAACTAGAAACATTTGATGATATATAAAAAATATAAAAAAAATAGAAAATAGCAGAACAAACAGCATAAAACTTGGTCTGGGTAGTTCTCTCAAAAGAATCAAGAGATTAACTTAATAAATTGTAGCTTAAAACTTTTTTTTAGAGCTTATTAAAAGCAACAAGAATTGGTATACTTAAAATCTAATTCAAGAAAAAATAGCTAAGAAGATTCTCAATACAATAAAGTTACTTAAAAAGCAAAAGATTATTTAGATGCTGCAGTAAACTCAATATAGAATTACTTTTATAAAAATATATTAAAGCAAAAATATATTAATAATTAAAAAAAAAGTATAAATACCAAATTAAAAGAAAAAAACCGAAGTTAGAGAATCTAAATACTACTTTACAGAACTTGCCAAATTTGCAACTTTAATATAACTTGTAATTAGCTATAAAGTAGCTATATAGTTACTTTATAGTTACTATAGTTTTATATTTACTTCAAGTTAGCAATATGTCTACTACTGCAGTAACTATAAAGTAACTATATAGCTACTTTATAGCTAATTACAAGTTATATTAAAGTTACAAATTTGGCAAGTTCAGTAAAGTAGTATTAAAGAGACAAAGTTGATTTTAAAAGAAAGTAATAAAAATCAAGATCAAACCAAAAAAAAAGTAAAAAAAGTAAAAAAGAAAAAAATTCTTGGTTTGATATAGTTAAAAATTTTATTAAAAATAAAATAAAACTATTTTAGTATAATTTTATTAGTTAGCTTGATACAATTTTTGATATGAGAAAAAGTCTTAATTAGTATAGTAAACCACTTTTAAATACTTTTCAAAGTAGCTAGAAAATGTTAAATCTATAATTTAAATAGATTAAAAAATAAATAATAAATAATAAAAATATAAAGATAAAAAATTAAAATTTTTTAATAAAAACAAATTAAAAATATTATAAAAATTAGTAAAAAACAAACTATATATATATAGATTGAAATTTGATATATTCTATATTTAAGCTATATATATTAGATAGCAAATATATGAAAATAATATAGAATATACTATATATATATTACATATATCCTATATATTCTATACAAATATTCAAATTTATAAAATATATAGAGTATGTGTAGAATATATATAGTTAGTATATATATATAAGATATCCTATATATTATTGTACTAGTATTGTATTTAATAGATATAGAATAGATATAGAATATATTAAATTTGAATTTGTAATATCAATAATTCTCTTTAATAATTATAATTATTTATACAACTAGTACTGAAAGTAAATTATAACAATTTGAAGTTTTTTAATATGAACTATTATTTTTTTGTTTTTTTTAAACTTATTAGCAGCCTTGCTAGTATTTTTTATTAGATCAAAGCTATATATATTATATTTTTTCTATAATAAGTTATCTTCAAAAATAAGCTACTTCTCTTTTGTTTAAAAAATTTAAAAATATTTTTTATTCTAAACTAAACTATCTAGATATAATTACTATTAGTTGCTGTATATAAAAGTATATATATATAATAATTAATAGTAATTAATTAAAATTCTTAAAAACTTTTGGCAGCACTCTACCAACCAGGCCGCCGGAAGAGTACCGGAGGAAAAGGACCCAACCGTGGGGACCAGGGGCAGGTCATAGCCCTTCCGGGCCATCTGGAT